AAATGCTCCCTACCAATGCAGTTCAGTGCCTTTTCTGCAATTTACAATCTCAGAGAGCTGCCTAGAGTACTGAGTGGTTAAGTGACTTGCCTAGGATAACACAGTCAGCACAGGTCAGAGGCCCAGGTCTTCCTGACTCCCAGCCTGTCTTTCTACCCAGTGTGACTCCACAATGCCTCTCTCACAAAGCCTGAGTAGTCCCACCTTTAATCCATCACCCTACCCCCCCCCCCCCCAATTGCAGCATCCTGCCTCACTTCTCTATGTTACATGGGTATTTTTCCAGGCTCTCCAAGGTCATCCTATACTATGACATCTTACAATGAGGATTTCCAAATTGTCGTCAGTTTCCCCATTCTTCTTTCTAATCTGACCACCCATGAGGGCCAGTGCTCTTCTATATCTTCTACTATTCCTCTGTGGTTTGCATAGCCTTTGGAAAACTGTCTCCTTCAAAAGTTTATAGGTGCCCTGGGGCTGAGCAAGATCCAGTGTGCTAAAGAGACCATCCAGCTGTGGTGGATGAATTGTTGACCTAAGCATCTGCCACACTGAGCCCCAGTACCTGAAAGCAAAAGACTCTTGCAGCTGAACTTGCAAAGCTGTTTTGGAGGAGCTGATTTTCTGGGGGTGGGAAGGTTAACAGGAATTCCGGGAAACTACTCCCGGTTTCCAGACCCATTGGGATATACACAGGAAGAGCTTAGCTACATTGCTCCCAGCTATGCTGTCAAATAGACATTCAATTGGGAATGGTAAAGCTTTCTCCAAAGTAAGGAGTTTCTCATCTCCAGATTTCACATTTGCTTATCATTATTATTGGGGATTTTTCCCCCAAGAAAAACAGTTCCCACCAACCACAAAAAGAGCTCTCTGGAACATTAATCCAGAAAGGAACAGCTAAGACACTATTCTGCCTTGATTTTAACAGGAATCCAACAGCCCAAGTAAATTTCCCCCCAGGCAACTTCCTACCCTCTACAAAGAATATGAATCAAACTCAAGCAAGAACCTGCATTTATCAGAAGAGATCCTTTCAGACTTGACATGGTGGCTGAGTGAAAGATTTTTGCAGACTCCCCCAATATTTTCTCTGTTCTATCTCTTGTCCAAGGACCAGAGGAGAAACAGAGCCAAACTATTCCCACTGGGCAGGCCATCTTCTGGCTGGGACAGAAAGAATGCTCAAGGACTTCTTTGCCCTTGTTTATGACTGTAGAAAGCAAGTTCCATTGACTTGTGGCCAGGATCATGTCAGGAAATGGTGTCAGAGCAATCTGTCTTGAGCTTTACCAAGATTCTCTTAATCTTGGGTCACATTTATGCCATAAATAAGACTTGGCACTCCTATCTGAAGACATGGAAATATATTATGGAGTATTAGAAGCATAGAATTTTAGAGTTTAAAGGGACTTTGAAGATTATTGAGGCTAATAGATGAGAAATTGAGGCTCAAGAGAGAATGACTTACCTAAGACCACTCAGCTAGTCCAGGACTTGAAGAGGGTGCCTAACACTTAACCTACTGCTTTTCTCTACTATAATAACACTGTCTTTCCAACTATAAAGCCAGAATGCTGTCTTCCTAACCTAGACTAGATATCAGTCCCCTTTGTCCTTACTTCAGTATTTCAAAGGTGTATAATTTCATTGGTGTGGGGCACTCCCTTAACCAATGAAGATAGTAACCCTTTTATAACTTGGTATATGAGTGTTGCTGTGGTTGAAAATTTAATCTCAACACCCTGTGGCCAGCCTGGTGCTGAGCATCTCTCAGCTTGGTTAGGTTGGTCCTTGGATGACAGATATATGGTCATCCCCAGGCCCCTACTCTAAGCTTTTCCTGCTTGGAAAGACATGTCAGTGCTTCTGCTCCAGTGGTTGAGCATTTGAGAGCCTAGGATTACCTTCAAAAGATCACAAGGTGTTGGAGATAACTTCATCAAAGGATAATTACTTTTTACTGAAAACAAACGGCAGCCTCAGAGTCTAAGTGGACTAAGTGAATGAACTGAGAGTCATGGAAGATGCTTTGCTGGGGATTTTTACTGATGTAGTAGCTACCATTTATATAAATAATTATGTAGGGGTTGCAAAGAGCTTCATGTATATTATTGAATTTGACCCTCCAGGTGAGGAGACTGAGGCTGAGGTAAAGTAACTTGTTCAGGGTCACACAGTTAGTAAACATCTGAGGCAGTATTTTCTCTGTTCGCTGTGCCACCACTCATGTATCATGGAAAGTAGTGACCCAATAGGTAAATGTCTTGTTTCAGGTCACATCAAAAATGCATACTATATGGGATTCTTAGCTGAGACTCTAAGGTGAATAAGCACCATTCCTCAATACCATTCAGATACTGAAGTAAGTTGTATATTAAATGGCATAAGCAGACAACCTTGGAATCAGTAAGACCTAGCTAGGTTCACATCCTGATCTGACACATTTGTAGTTGAGTGGCCCTGGGCAAGTCACTTAACTTATGAGTGGCCTCAGGTACCTCTTTAAAGACTGCAATTAAAGATAAGTTGATGATCTGCTTGGTAGGAGAAAATTTCCACATCAGGAAGTTCCCCAAAGCAATGAAATCATCAGCAAGATCCTTCCACCTGTGATTACTTTGTATTTAGACACTTTTGAAACTAGGTAGGTAGCATATATTTTATTTTATTTTGGAGGCAATCCAGATGAAGTGACTTGCCCAGGGTCACACAGTAAATGTCTGAGGTCAAATTTGAACTCAAGCCCTCCTGACTCCAGTGCTAATGCTCTATCCACTGCAGCGCCACCTAGCTGCCCCCAGCCTATATTTTAAAGGCTAGTTCAAAGACAGCGGTGTCAGAGAACAATAAGACAGTTGGAGAAAGCTCAGTTTCAGTCATCCCCACACATAGGAGGCAGTGGCAAGACCCGAGTTCAAATTCTAGCTCTGCTATCTGTGTAACCTTAGGCAAATTGCTTAACTTCCTGGGTGCCCGTTTCCTTTGTAAAACGAGGGGATGTGACTAGATGACATCTAAGATCTCTTCCACCTCTAGAGCCGTGATCCTAGGATATATAGGGACATAGATGATCACATGGTCATATACATTGTCTATATGTCTTTTGACAATCAGCCTAGCCAAGTTTGGAGAAGATCATCACCAGGCTGACTTAAGGGGTAAAGAATTTTTCATCCTGGAACATATTTAGAAGGCCTAGAAGGTTGCCCTTGTTATTCAGAAGTGCCCCTCCCTCCACTGATGAAATTACAGATCCTTGAAGAATTGACATACAGGGCACATTAAAATATTGGATTCAAATGTGTGTGTGTAGAGAGAGAGGGGGGTGGGAGGGAAGAAGAGAGGGGCAGGGAGATGGGGGAGGGGGGGAGGGGCAGGGAGATGGGGGAGGGGGGGAGGGGCAGGGAGATGGGGGAGGGGGGGAGGGGCAGGGAGAGAGGGAGACAGAGAGACAGAGAAAGAGAAACAGAGAGGTTCATCTAGCTATACAGATATACATACACTCATCAGTTGAGAGAAGAAAAGCATATTCCCCACAGAGAGCAAGAGACTAGATCAGGGATTCTTAACCCTTCTTGTGGCATGTTCTGTTTAGGCAGCCTGGTGAAGCCTGTGGGTCTCTTCTTAGAATTTGGCTTTTAAATAATTGAAGGAAATGCTAAGTCTCATTAAGCGCTTAGTGAAAATAAGGATCTAACTTTTTCCTTATCCGAGTTGAGGCACTCGTTGAATTCTATCCACAGATCCCTTAGGGGGGTCCCTGGACCCCAGGTTCAGAAAAAAGAAGCCAACAGAAACCTGCTGAGGCCTGCTACCCTGGAGGCTCATCTTTAATCTGGGAGAAAGAGAATCCAAAAGTGGCCAGGGCCATGTGAGATAGGACTTTTAATGAAGAACGAGATCCCCCGTGTTGGATGACCCCCAGGCCTGGGCAGATGTGTTTTTTGGGCAGATGTATGTTCCCGACCTTTCCTTTCAAGTCAAAACTTAAAGAAAGCCTTCGGATTAGGGCAGGAACTGGCCAAGCGCATGGTTTCTGGCGCTAAGGCTTGCACTTGCAAAACCTCCAAACCTGGGCAGCCCCGAAGAGTACCCTGGGGTTCAGTGCACCGGCCGTCCTGCCCCCTAGACCTGGTTTGGTATCCCAATTTGCTACGAGTCGGCTTTCCCTGTTCGCGGGAACATCAGCCCCCAGCAGCCGCCTGTGCTGGCTAGCCAAAAGCCCCGGGAAGACTTTTCTGGATCTGGTTAAACACTATTTGCACTTTTGTTGGAAAAGTGGCCCCTCGTGGGCAATTATGTCACATTTCTTTGAGTTTTACAATTTAATGTAAAACAGTAACCTTTTATTTATCCTAGACGAGGCCGTCTCTCTCTCTCTCTCTCCTCCCCTCCCCCTTCCCCCCCTCTTACCCCCCCCTCCCCCCCCCCCCATCCTCTGAAATGTCACTCAGTGTGCTCTTTTTGCTTCCACCAGTTTCCAAAACAAACAGCGGAGGCTGCAGGCTGCGGGCCGGGCCGGGCTGCCTCAGTGCCTGCATCAGGGCGGGCGCTCGCTCGTTCGCTAGCTGTTCTCCCCGGGCTGCCTACTGTGGCGCCCCCATTGGAGCTCCCCAGCCGGCTCTCGGGGGCAGAGCTGCTCCCTCCCAGGTCTCCCCTTGCCAATCTTGTAGAACCATTAGGGAAAAAATGAACGGGGGGGATTTGACGACTGATGGTCCCCACATGTCCGATGGGAAGAGTTTTTTTAGGCAGAAGGCTCAGCCCTTCCCCAGTCTATAATGAGGAGCCTCAGGTCTTAATGTTGATCTTTCTTCTCTTTTCCTCCTTTAGAAAATTTTGGGGAAAGACAATTCCATTTTCGGCTTTTTGGATTTCCCCTGCACTTCCTCCTGCACTTCTTTCCCCCCCACTCCCACCCCCAACTGCTCTCCCCTCCCCCAAGGATCAAGTTGAAACTTCTCTTGCTCGTGTGGATTCCATTGGTTTCTTCAGTGATGGCTTTAAGCTCACGAGCTCATGCCTTCTCTGTGGAAGCCTTGGTGGGGAGATCGACCAAAAGGAAACTCCGAGACTTGCGAGATGAGCAGCCGCCGCAGGATCTGCTGGAGAAAGGCGATGAGGAGGAAGAGGAGGAAGACAGAGAAATCGGGATGCTGAGGAAAATCGAGGAATCGGGTCAGTACCATCACCCTTCTCCCCCGACCCCAACACAGCAGCAGCAGCAGCAGCGCCCTGCTGCACCTCGGACACCAGAGGCTGCCAGCCCAGGGAGGCTACTTGGCTGTAAGCTGTCTTGTGTGGGCGAGGGTCTTGGCTGGGGAGAGGGATTCCCATAGTTTTGGGTAGCCTACTGCTGGGAGAAGTTGCCAGGAGAACCTGAGAGGGACTGAGAACCTGCCTCTAGGGCAGAGCTCCCCAGATTCCTTCTGGGATGCACAGCGCCCCAGCTATGGGGAGTGCAGATGAGACAGCGGAGGCCCTGCGCTAGGACTTCAGTTCAGCAGAGCTGCGGCCCGACGCTCCTCATTCTCTGTAAGTGTTGTGGGTTTGAGGGACAAGAGCAGGTTCTTTCCTACTGACCACGGTGGGGGTGGGGAGGGGTCCTCCTTCTCTGAAATACTTCACTTCTTTCGGAGGCAACTTGCGGTGGCCCCGGACCGAGACTCCTTAGATGTATGATACTGGTCAAGTTTCTAGTTCTCTCTGAGCCTCAGTTTCTTCTTCTGTAAAACTGAAGGAGTTGGAACAGAGGATCGTTGAGGTTCCTTCCAGCAGTACCAGTCTGTGAAATGGGCCGGGACCTGATGTTCTGGGGACACTGGGTGCTTGAGGCAGCCAGGAGGGGAGAAGCTGGAGTTCAAATACTTTCCATTTCTGTCTCTGGGCAGAAAAGAGACCCAAAGCAGAGACTTCAACGACTGCTTTCTCCGGGGGCCACGAAAGTCCGGAAGATAAAGATAACGTCCAGGCAGAGTTGCAAGGCTCCGAGCTGTGGCAGAGATTCCACGAGATTGGGACGGAGATGATTATCACCAAAGCCGGCAGGTAGGCAGGCCCCTGGTTCCAGGGCCCAACCTGGGAGGGTTCTAGGGTGGACAGCACCAGACACCTCCCACACCGGGCAGAAACCGCTTGCCGAGCCATTGAGGCTGTGCCCTGCTGCTGAGGCACATGCCCATCTCCAACTGCTGGACTTAGCTTCTCGTCGAGAGTCCACAGGCAGCCGCTTGCCAGTGAGGACTCTCAAGGTCAGACCTTGAGGCCGATTCTAAATGAGCAGCTTTATTTACCAGTAAAATTGCCCTAAGCCCTGTCAGCTACATGGGTCAGGGAGTAAATTATCCACCCGAGGGCCAGAGAGATTCGGAGAAACCCACAGGTGGGAGGTGTGCCTCACCCAAGAAAAATGCTCTCTTTTGCACCTAGCTCGGAATTCTCCCTGTGCGCTTCCTCCCATCTTGCTTTAGCAAAGCAACAGAAGTAACAGAACCAGCTGAGTGTGGGGTTAGCCCCAGCCTGATTCCCCGTCACAATTTAAAAGTTCCCAGAGTTCACCAGAAACAATTCAAAGGAACCTTTGGGTGTCAATCGAGTCGCTTGTTTTCCCCTTTCCCTTTTGGAAGCAGCTCTGTTAGCCCATACGCAGGGAGCCCTTCTCTCCCTGGAGAGCACCGACATTTCGGCCGATGCACAGACGGACCCCCAAGCTTATCCCTTAACAGAGGCCATTTCTGAGGCCTTTTATTCGGCTAGTACTGAATGTTCTTCCCTTCGCACTTGGGAAAGCGAGGCAGCCCGCCTCCCCTTCCGCAAATGTTTTTCAAGGCCAGGCAGAGCAGAGTGCTTTCCGTCTCTTCTGCAGGCGAATGTTCCCTTCTGTTCGCGTCAAAGTGAAGGGGCTGGACCCCGTGAAACAGTATTACATTGCTATCGACGTGGTGCCAGTGGACTCCAAAAGATACAGGTAAAGGCTGGACGGTAGCTCCAATCCAGCGGCATCTCAAGCCGGGCAGGCTGCTTGCTCCGACTTGCGAGCCCACGGCTCCCTAAGAGTCAAACAGGCGGATTAAAGCGGAATTCTTCCTCAGCAACGTTTTTTACAACGCAACTCCACTGAGCCCCATCCGCTCGGGCTGGTCTTGCTTTGATCCCCAAAGGTTTGGGCCTTGCGTGCGGGAGGGGAGGGCATCCCGGCTACTTCCTCGGGCACCAGCTTGAGGACCAGGTTCCTATCTTGGTGCTGCAGGTCCCATATAGTTCTTGGGAGACCGGCGACACCCTGAAGCTTCAGCAGGAGAGAGGAGGCCTTCATGTGTCCTCAGAACTGAGAAGGGAAAAGGGACGCCGGGTCTCTAAACCCGACGCTGTCCTCTCCTTTACCCAGCGACTTCCAAGTCATTGGGAAGTCTTGGGACCTTTTAAACCAAGGCAAAACTTATGGGCATAGCCGAGACTGCCGAGAGAAACAGGTTTCCCTGCGGTGCTGGCTTGGTACCGTTAAGTTTAGGGACTTGGACGTCGGCGGCCATAAGCTGTGTGTCTGGGTGGCTGGAGCAGAGGCTGTCCCTGGCCCTTCTCTCAGTCACCCAAGCATGGCCCCAACCAGCCCAGGTGAGGGGAACAGGGAAAGCACAACTCAACCAGCTAGCTAGGGACAGGGATGGGAGGGTGGAGGAGGGAGGCAGCCTGCAAACAGAAACAGCTGTTTGCTTTAGCTTCTGCAGTCTTGTTGAGTGTTTGGGGAGCCGGCCGCACATCTGTACAGTGTCTGGATTGGAAACAGTCCGTGAGTCGCCCTAGTTGCCTCTAGAGGTGGAGAGGGGGGAGAAATGGGGGAGGCTCGGGGATCCCAAGGCCTCGTTTAGTGAAAAGCCTCCCTCTCTAAACAGGCGAAGCAGAGTCAGCATAGAGAGCCCCGGAGCAGGCGAGCAGAGCACATCTTCCGTCCCCCCCCCCCATTCCCATTCCCGTCCGACTTGTCCTAGCTGAAGTTGGGAGGGATGCTCACTGGTCTCAGGGCTTACGAGGTGGCGTAGATCAGGTTTTCCTGCGGTCGGTTCTAGGAAATACAAACCAGACTCTGGGAAATCCCCCGACGCTTCCCCAGCCCCGGTTTAGCGTTGCGTTGCGTTGCGTTGCGTTGCGTTCCGACAACCTCCGATTATTGAAAGTTTGCTTGCTGCTCCAGCCCAGCGCTCACTGTGGGGATCCAAGGACCTTTCCACGGGTAGCCTACCTAGGGCCCTTTTCCCCTTCTGACGGCTCCCTTCCCACGTTGTAGATACGTCTACCACAGCTCCCAGTGGATGGTGGCGGGGAACACGGACCATTCGTGCATCACGCCCAGGCTCTATATCCATCCAGATTCCCCCTGCTCGGGAGAGACATGGATGAGGCAGATCGTCAGCTTTGATCGCGTCAAGCTCACCAACAACGAGATGGACGACAAAGGACATGTAGGTGTGCACTCCGGCTGCTGACCGCTGTTGGGGTAGGGGGACAGAGTGGGGAGAGGGAGGGGGGGAGGGGGAGGG